ACATTAGAATTTACAAAAGGAATTTCACTACTAATTGCCTACTTTGCGTACTTTTCTACTACCATTTTCGCAACAAGGGATTGCATTCTTGCCCTTTCTCTGTCCTTCGTAAATGCAACCTTTTGTAACGGAGTGTCAAACCGCAGCTGTCAATAATTACACTGGACCACAAATTTCAACTTTTTCTCTTTACCAGAAACGCCGTTATATTTGCAGGAAATCTGGACTTTTAAACGAAATGTTGAACGTAATATTGAAATAACAATGGCTGACAGCAACACAAAATGCGTGCTACGTTAAAAAAAAATACACCACAAGAAGTGCGTATAATTACGGGGTATAAGTGTACTATACGTACATTGCTCTTAATAAAAAAAATAATATTAGGATTGATAGGGGTCTTACTCCTGATCATAACGGTATAATGTTTTACTGGGGGAACTAATCGCACGATATTTTATTTTTATCAATACTTCTATAAATAATGAAAATTTTTTATAAAAAATCGCGTGATTTTTATTACAAAATCTCTCCATTTTAATAAAAAAAGATTAATTACAATGTCCGTTTTTATTGCTTCCCTTTTTCAGTGCTTTTTATTGGGCATTTTTTGTTGTGTGGCAGCACCGACATTTTAGTTCAATTGGTTTGCAAAGCAAAAAGTGAGCTAATTGAATTTTTGCATAGCACAAAATTAGATGGAGTCCTATAAAAAATAATAATAATAATAATAATAAAAAAAAATATATATATATATATATATATATGTGTATATAAAATAAAAAATTAAAAAAAATATATGAACTATGCAGTAAAGGAAAGAAAAGATAATAATAGCTCTAAAAATTTTATATTAATGATTTAGAGACCTTGAGAAATACAGATGTAAACAGCATTGTTGAAAATTTCAAAAGCATTGCTAGCTGTCAACAAGGAGGAAAAATAAAAATATGAAAATTTTTACATTGTTTCAAACCAAAATGCTGATTTGGTTTCTCTTCAGTGACCAGTAATCAAAAATAAATGCCCCGAAATCCAAATTGCCTTTGTCTTATACACTTTATTTAATATAAAAAACAGAACGAGAAAATTGTGTATCTATCACTAGAAAAAATTGATGTATGTATCCGGTAATTCAAAAAGTAAGTGAAGTTGGTTGCGAGTAAAATAAGAAAAATATAAATGTCAGAAATGGCAAGTCACCAGGGGTGATTTTAAATAGTATCATCAACATTCCGGCCCTCTTGAAAGCATCCGCTTTTAAATATCGATGAACAGTGGGCAAAGTTTGACAATGGGTCTTTTTAGGGTCCCCTTAAAAGTGTCTACAGACGCCACTCGCACTAAACCATCGGATCCTGGATGCACTTCTGAGATCTTTCCAATGGACCATTGGGTTGGTGGTAGGTTGTCGTCCTTTATGATAATTGTGTTACATATTCGATTGACCACCTTTTCCAAAAATGCTGTGTCAGCTTCTGAAGGTATTGCCAACGATTTACTGCATTTTCCTTTAGGTTGAGGAGGTTTTTGTCTGGCAGAGAAGTCATTGGGCGCATAATCAGGAAATGTGCTGGAGTCAAGGGATCGATATCGCCTTCAAATTTGGTACATAGTGGGCGTGAGTTGAGACATCCTTCAATTTGACAGAGAATAGTGTTCAACTCCTCATATGTAACGCACGCATCAGCCAATGTTCGTTTTAAGTGATACTTGACTGACTTGACGCCTGCTTCCCATATGCCGCCGAAGTGGGGTCCTGCAGGTGGGGAGAAATGCCACTGAATTTCTTGCTCAGCTGACGCTCTTGAAATAGTTTCCTGTGTTGTCGAATCATTTATGTATTGGTATAGTTCCCGCAAATGTTGATTAGCACCCACAAAGTTGGTACCATTGTCTGAGAATATATGTAATGGTTTTCCGCGCCGCGCAGTGAATCTTCGTAGTGATGCAATGAAAGCCGCTGTAGACAATTCAGTCACCAGCTCAATATGTATTGCCTTGGTGGTCAAGCAAATAAAAAGTGCTATCCAGCATTTATACAGTTTAGAGCCACGTCCCTTCCAAGAACGTACCTGTATCGGCCCAGCAAAATCGATCCCCGTGTTGAGGAAAGGTGATCCTGGATCCAAACGATATTTTGGTATGTCACCCATTTGTTGTTGGTAGGAAATGCCGCGGTGTCTCATGCATACTGTACATTTAAAGATGCCCTGCTTGATAACATGTGTGACTCCTGGAATCCAGTACTTAAGAGCCAAGAGATAATGTAATTGCCTCTGTCCGGCATGCAAGTAACGTATGTGATAGTCACGTACAATTAGTTTAGTTAACGGGTGAGTTTTGTCCATTATGAATGGATGTTTCTGATTATAATTGATTTTCGCGTTGGTAACTCTGCCACCTACGCGGAGCAATCCTTGTTCGTCAATAAATGGAGCAAGTGGTGCCAACTTATGTGAAGATGGTAACTGCCTACCTTGACCGATAGTTCGTAACTCGAATGTGTAAGATCCTGCTTGTACTGATCTAACCAGGACATCATGCGCCGTGCGTAGTTCACTGGTTGTAATGGATTGATTATTACCTTTGCTATTAATGCACTTAGCTTTGCAGTTGTTGACAAATCGCAAAAGAAGTGATGTGATTCGCAGCAGTCGTGTATAACAGGAGTAGCGCTCTATCACTGAAACCTCAGTTGTTACGCTTGCAAGTGCAACCGTGCTTTTCCGTTCTTCCTGCGTTATGTCATCTTCCAGAGGAGGCACTAAATGACACGTCTCTGGAATGTCTTTTAGTTCACCTGGACCATGCCACCAAATCTCGTTAGATAGAAGTTCTTGAGGACACAATCCCCTTGTGGCAAGATCTGCAGGATTGTGCTGAGAAGGAATGTGTCTCCAACGCTCAGACGGAACAACTTTTAATATTTCCGCAGTTCGATTCGCTATGAATGTTTTCCAACGGCGAGGATGATCCCTTAACCATGCCAACACTATTGTGGAATCCGTCCATCCAAAGGTTTCAGCCTTTGACAATTCCAGCGCATTTTGTACTTTAGTCATTAATTTCGTCATAAGATGTGAACCACATAGCTCAAGCCTTGGTAGTGTGATTTGTTTAACTGGAGCCACACGCGTCTTGGCAGCTATTAAATTTGTTGATATTTGCCCATTTTCATGGTGAACTCTAATGTATATAGTTGCTGCGTATGCCAGCTCCGAGGAGTCTGCAAATCCATGTAGTTGTACGAGCTTCTCATTGGAGTAACGTATCCACCGGGGAATATGTAACTGTAATATGCGGTTGATGCTTTCTCGATACTCAACCCATTGAGTGTAAAGGTCGTGCGGTAATGCCTCGTCCCATCCTATTCCTCTCAACCACAGTTTTTGCATGAATATCTTCATTGATATAACCACTGGCGACAACCATCCGATGGGATCAAATACCCTAGCTAAATCCGATAAAACACTTCGCTTGGTTGTATGTTGGTTTGATGGCAAACAAACGCTGTATTTAAAACTATCGGTCGATGTATCCCATAAGAGTCCCAGTGTCTTTACTGTGCATGTAGAGTCTATATAGGTATCAGATTGAACCTCTCGATCCTCACTTGGAATACTTTCCAAGAAGGTTGCTGAATTTGAAGACCACTTGCGCAGATGTAACCCAGCATCAAACAACAGGGCGCAAATCTCTTATTTAAGCTGAATCGCAGTAGCTTCGTCGGTAGCGCTTGCCATAAAATCGTCTACGTAGAAATACTGTGAAATTGCTTCAGATGCTTTCGGATGTGCATTGGCGTTGTCATTGGCGATTTGCTTCAAGGTTCTAGTTGCGAGGAATGGCGCAGCTGACGTTCCATAGGTTACAGTCTTGAGATTATATTCTTTTATGGGTTCATCGTTTGACCTCCGCCAAAGTATACGCTGCAGTGATTGGTCGTCAGGGTCCACCAAGATCTGGCGATACATCTTCTCTATATCCCCTGTAAATCCCAACTTGTACTTGCGAAAATTTAAAATAATGTCAAATAGATCTCTCTGAATTGTGGGTCCCACGAGCAACTGGTCGTTGAGCGAGAGTCCATTTGTAGTCCTACATGACCCATCAAAAACAACCCTCAGCTTAGTTGTTGTGCTGTTAGGCTTTAGCACTGCGTGATGCGGTAAAAAATACGTACGTTTTGGATCGAAATTACCAGCCGGCTCCATGTGGCCCAACGTGATATAATCGAACATAAATTTTTGGTATTCTTGCTTGAGCTGAGCATTATTATGAAAACGTCGTTCCATAGCTAAAAAACGTTTTAGAGCGTTGGTACGTGACTCACCGAGTTGCGGTTCGTTTTTCAATGGAAGTTTAACTACATATCTTCCAGACTTGTCTCGCTTAACAAATTGTTTATAATGATTTTCAGCTGCTAACTCATCAGGGGTGAGATGCTGAAGCGGGCCCTTGACGTCCTCAATCTCCCAGAATTGTTGCAGCTGTTGGCTAATCTCCATGAGTGTATGCGCGGTAATGATATGTTGTTCGTTCTCAGATGACAGCCTACCGATCAAAACCCATCCAAAAATTGTGTACATTGCCGATGGTGAGCCACTGGGGTGCGGTATAATGCTTGGTAAGATGCAATCGGCTAGAACATCTGCTCCGAGAATAAGGTCAATGCGACCTGGCTTATCGTAGTATGGGTCAGCCAATTCCAAATGCTTAAAAAACTCTGTGGTCTGGCTGGAGACCTTATATGAAGGTAAGTTCCGTGTTAGATTTGATAAACAAAGTCCCTCTGTTGAGATGGTCTTGCCTTGAAGTGCATGAATGCTTATGTACACTTTTCCTTTTGAGCGACTTCCATCCGTTGCTCCTACTCCATAGAGAATAGTGTTGTCGTATTTGGGTTTTAGTTGAAGACGTTGCACGCATGCTGCAGAAATAAGTGTGCCTTGTGATCCTGAATCCAGCAAGGCGCGACATTGCTGCAGTGAACCAGTCGCATCCTCAACCATCACCAAAGCAGTTGGGAGCAACGTGATTGACTGTGGACTTGATTGCAAACTGTTCACACTAATGCTTGTAGATTCTTCACTTCGTACTGGTGGTTGAGATGCACTTGTTTGTTGCTTCTCTGTCGACGACCGATCTAAGTGCAGAAGCGTGTTGTGCTTACCGTTGCATTTACGACAAAATGATCGTTTGCAATTCACAGCCTGATGATTTGCTTGCAAACAATTAAAACACATGTTGCCTTGCTGGACAACCTTTCGCCTTGCTTCTACGTTGAGTTCCTTAAATTTACTGCAGTTGTATAGTGGATGATTCGAAGAACAAACAGGGCATGCCTGCATAACAGTAGTAAAAGTGCGTGATTGTTTTTGCTTATTGTAACTCTGATGTGATTGGTGGTTTGTGCCCTTAGATGTATTTTCGAGTTCAAATACACGCTTTTCCAAAAAATTTAAAAAATGTTGTATAGTTGTCGATTCGTCCGACTTTCTATCTCGATACCACAAAGTATGAGTTTCAGAATCTAGTTTTTTCTCAAGTATAAAAAGTAAAATTGAATCCCAGTGCTCTACTGGCTCTTTGAGCACCCTTAGTGCGTTTATGGTTTCGTTGGTTGTGTTATACAAACGTTTTGCTTCAGAAACTGATGAAATTTTCATCACAGGTTGATCAAACAAAATTTCAAAATAAGCCTTTTTTATATTGTCAGGTTTGTCATATTTTTTCTTCAATAGTTGCCAAGCGATTTCATAATTTGCATTTGCTGGTTGCAAATGCTTTATGAGTGACAGTGCATCACCCTTTACCTTCGTTTGCAAATATTCCAATTTCTCAACATTTGAAATGTTAGTTTTGTTGTGAACCATGGCTTCGAATAGATCGCGGAATCGCATCCACTCGATGCACTTGCCATCGAAGTCAGGAATTTGTATTCGTGGCAATCGAAGCTCTTGTTGTGGCAGCTGTTGCAAATTGTTTATTGTGTTGGCTGGTGATGACGAAGATCTACCATCACTGCTTACGTTTTGTGAAATGCGTTCAATTAACGCGCCCATGGTGCCCTGATGCTCCATTAATGCTTGCATTGCTGTCGAAATATCTCTTGGAGATTGCTGATTCTCGATAATTGTCGCATTACCACCCTCTACTTGCGCACGTGAATAGCTTGCTTTAATTGTAAAATACTTTTCTTCAATTGCGGCCCGATACTCGTCCTCTTGCTCAAGCTCGCTAGCCGTTGTTGTAAGAAGATCGATTTCATTCTGAATATCGCCGTATTGCTTGAATAATTCTTCAGCGCGCTCTATACGCACTTTTAAATCGTCAATTGTCGTGTTTGTATCTGCACAAATACTTTGAATTCGTGTCAGACTGCTTTTGATTACTTGACGTTGTTTTTTAAATGAATCCATTTTGTGGTGGTTGTTTTTTTACTTATGTTGACGTTTCTACTATGTTCTACTTGTGGCAAATGTCAGTTGTCGTCAATGTACGACCGCTATTGTGACTGCAACATACAATTGCTGCCAGATGTCTTGAATAGTACTCCGAAAATTGTGCTTATTACTCCGAACGAGTCTCCAATTTGTGTTGCAATTTCAGACACCCTTGTGTGTCTCCAAATAAGATGTTGCAACTTGAGTCACCCTTGTGTGCCTCCAAACGATGTAATGCTGCTTGTGACACAATCTCGTGCCCCCAATCACGATGATGCGATTACAGACACTCTTGTGTGTCTTCAATGAAGATTATGTAATTCCAGATACTTGTGCGCCTCCAAGTAAGACGCCAATTGATAGTCGAAATTTACGGTGGTGTATACAGAAGCAACCTGGATTCCTTGAGCATCCGGCTCGAAGGACCAAATTATGTTTCAAACCAAAATGCTGATTTGGTTTCTCTTCAGTGACCAGTAATCAAAAATAAATGCCCCGAAATCCAATTTGCCCTTGTCTTATACACTTTATTTAATATAAAAAACAGAACGAGAAAATTGTGTATCTATCACTAGAAAAAATTGATGTATGTATCCGGTAATTCAAAAAGTAAGTGAAGTTGGTTGCGAGTAAAATAAGAAAAATATAAATGTCAGAAATGGCAAGTCACCAGGGGTGATTTTAAATAGTATCATCAACATACATAATAAATTGGAAAAAATTTTAACAATATGCAGTACAAAGTAGTATGAGATACGCACAAATGTTATTATAGGACTCAATTATTATATGCCTTTGTTAAGGATATCCCTAGTATCACTATAAATATTACATATAGCCGTGCTCCCATTTTCAGAATCGCAAATATTTTTCGTTTTACTTTTCAAATCGCAAAATTACGTGCTCCAATATTCGCAAATCGGAAAATTTTTGCGGTTTCAAATCGGTTGCCGGTGAGACGGTGGAATGAAAAGTAAATGGCAAAATTAACATAAATAACAAGCTAGCTTAGTTTAAATTTATTTCGGATTATGCCCATTATATTTTGCGATATTTTTTGCGTCCTAAAATTTACTTCTTATGTTGATTTTATTTGTTTAATTAACTATTTATTATACCTATCTCCGTTTTGGGCAACGAAAATTTATCGAAGCAACGAAGATTTACGATTTGGTGCGGACGAAACATGTGCGATAATTGTTGCATACCTTCAAGGGATGGCTTTCAGGAATGCTGGAAACGATGTGGAAAATGGCACTTATCGATAACAACAAGTTGCGAATTCAGGAGCACCCAAAAATAAAAACGTACGATTTTGACAAAAACGCAAATTGCAAAAGTAAGTGGAAATGGGAGCACGGCTGATAAATATGTTATTGGTGTATTTGCTTTATTTTTGTCTTATAAATATGTAACTGTACCGCTTAAACTTATTTGAACTTAGTCTTTAAAATTTGTTTTTTTTTTTATCAACCTTCACCCTGTCTACGGAAACATGGCTGGGTGAAGGAATACACTTTTGGATTTAACTGCTAGTTTGATACAACCTGGCATTGTTGGGAATGACAAGTCTCACCGCCAATCTTGAACTAGTTACTAGTTCATAAAGCTAAAAAAAAGCAAAAAGTGAGGTTTAAGTTGACATTTTTTGTAACTAAAAATTCAATTTTCTTAAAAACCATCAGCCTCCGGAGGGGGGGTTTTCAGATTTACAATCACAAAAAGCCGCTCTAAACCTCCTCATTTTTGTTTTTTTTTTTTAAAGCCGGGTTCCATATTGGAAAATTTTCCCATTTTTATTATGTACAACCGGTGTACATTTTATTTTAGCAATATTATACACTTTCGCGTAGTACATTTTGTTTTGCGATGTGTGCCTTTATTGACAATTTATAGAGTCGCTCTCATAGGGAGTGGTGCAATTTGTGGTAATCACGTTCTGCTTTATTTAGGGTATGCAGTTTTATGCGCGTTGCTGCAAACAACGCTGGTGACACTGAATCAGTTTTGCCGGTCAATTTCCTCACACACATTGCTTGTCAGAAGTCATCAAAATTGAAAGCCATTACGTAGGCGGCATTCAATTTGAGAAGCAATTTCATTGTCAAAATGTCGTCTTCAAGAAAACAATGTAACTAACTAGCTTCTGAAGACCTTTTTCCATTTTTAGATGCATTGTAGATTAATATTTTAGCTTGGGGTAGCTTATTATTTTTTTATTTTCACAAAACTTAAAGCAAAATTGAAACTCAATTGAAAGGAAAAAATTGAAAGCAAGTTGCCCGTTCAAGTAATAAAGAAGGGTGTGTTAGTGAAAAACTGTGAGTGTATTGAAAATTTAAAGGAGATGATAGCGCAGATTTATGCGGAATAAACTATTACAAATGAAAATAATATTTTAACAGTCAATACAATATCTATACATATCTTTTTCTTTTTTTCAAACATTGTATTATGTACTGCTAACCAGGCGATAAAGAAATCCATGTCTTGCATCAATATGTATATTAGGGGACCGACTGATGGATCCAAAGACGCCTGCATGGAAAGGACTCCTAATCCCGAATTCTTCGGTCCAAAGCCCATTATGTGCGAATCGATTAACCACCACCTTATAATTTAAAGAGGTCTTTTTATAATCACCGCCATGATTCAATAATACAAGGTTCGATAAACTGACAGTTGTCTCTCTCGCTCCCTTAGCAGTGGCAAAGTGTTGCTTCTTTGCAAATTTACTTGGAAAAAGTGTTGCTTTGCTGTGAAATAGAAGTATAAGCTTTTCTGCAATATGTTCCTTTGTATATGGATATGAAGCACATTTAACTGATGAAAACATAAACTGCTTTTAAATTGGATGTTTACATAAACCTCATAGTAGTTTTATTTTAATTTTGAGTCTTTTTGCAGTTTTTATACGGCTAAATAACACAAAAATTGCGTAATTCACGTAGATAAATTAACATTTCGTTCAATATTTCGTTTAAAATGCTAGATTTCCTGCAAATACATTAGAATTTAAAAAAGGAATTTCACTACTAATTGCCTACTTTGGTTACTTTTCTACTACCATTTTCGCACCAAGAGATTTCATTCTTCCCCTTCCTCCGTCCTTCGTAAATGCAACCTTTTGTAAGGGAGTGTCAAACCGCGGCTGTCAATAATTATCTAACCTTGTATTATTGAATCATGAATCACCGCCACTTACACTACCGATACTGCTTAGCACAGTATAGACAGTAGCCAACCATTTTGGGTTGTTGTTGTAGTAATCGTTGTTGTAGCTATATTGACCCTTGAGGAAGGCACTGGGTTGTGTGCTGCTATTTAATTGCCTTCCTCAGCCTTTTTCTTAGATTTCAGGGTTGTGTGCTGCATTATTATTATATAAATAAATTTAAGCATTTCACAAATCGTGATTTTATAAAAAGATAGTTATAAATGATGTTGAAAAAGCAAACAGACGCTCGTGCGAAATCTCTATTTTTGTGTGTTGTTAAAATTTATACATGGCGTATTGATGGTTATACAAGCAATCTATTCTTTTGTGGATTTGATGTTACTTGAGAATTTAGACAACGTGCGAGCTGCCAGGTTCTGTTATCAGTATAATTAACACAAGCTTTTCCGCGCGGTTGCCTTTCAATAAACAGAATTAACAAATATTCGCAAATAAATTTGATTTATCTTATAACTGACAACTAACGTACGATTTTTGTTCTTTTCCAGACTCCATTTTGATTTTGACTCTTTATTACCGCCAATAACTTTAAGTGTATACATATTTACAAGCTGTCAAAATTTTGGGTGGTTCCACGAGCTAAGTAAAAATTATGGCGTTCGTATTCATAACGAGAAATCTCAAAATTTTTGTTTGATCTTTCATTTCGTTTCTCTTTTTTATCAGTTGGCAAAGGCCCTCAGTGGCGGCGCTCCCAGCGTTGAGATACCAAATTCATGTCAATTAGTAGAAAAGTTCCAAGGTGTAATTCTTGCTGTAAAACTTTTCACCAGCGGGTTGAAAATTTTCATTTACCTCATAGTTGTCAAAAATTTGAAATCCGGAGTACTTTTCTATCAATTGGCACAGGCTTTTTGCGCAAATAAGGTTATGAAATGCGTTTGATTTAAATCGTTTAAAAAATGAGTCATTTATGTATACCATTTTATGTGGAATTGTTCAATAAATTTCGTTTTACATTATACTTTTTGAAACTACTGGAGTTAATTATTTTTTTTCTCAAAAGCAACCCTGTGTGCTTAGAAAGAGTGTGTACCAATAATTTCATCCCTGGCTTATTCATTACGAGGAAGGCAGTCGCTAAATTCACCCAAGGTTGTTTAGTGGTTATACTGTGCTGCTTAGGTTCCTCGTGGTTTGTGAATGGGCCTCCGCACACTGGACTGCTCAGTCCGCCTAAAACTGGGTTTGTTTGATAAAAGGGGAAAGAGAGTTCGAATTTATTTTTTGCTAGTTTGCTCAGGCCCAATGGCAACGGCCATTCCCGGAAATAGGAAACTTAGCCCACAAAAAATCCACATACGTCCCACAAGAAGCACGGTTACCTGCTGTCCAGATTTATGCTATAGCACACTAGCAAATTTTTATCGATCAAGTTTGCGCAAACTTTCGCTAAAACTGGTTCAGAAAATTGCATGTAATCCGAAAATTATACTTAAATAGATCAAATAAACTCCTCATATTACATTCTCGCTGACCTGTAAGTTAACATCACTAATCTAATTCTTTTTTGAGTATAAAAAATAGATTCCCAAACAGACAATGGCCCGTAGTCATAGTCAAAATAAAGTCGACTTTAAAGTTAGTTGCAGCTTTTTGACATAATTTTCAATGGGATATCTGTCAAAAAAGCTGCAACTAACTTTAAAGTCGACTTTATTTTGACTATGACTACAGGCCAATAAATTTCCTGCTATATTAGTTGAACTTTCGGCCAATATTAACCCTCAGGTAAGCA